ATACGATAAAAGGAAGTTCGTCAATCACTAGAAATATTCTTTTATTTCGTTTCTCCGATTAATCCTTTGTATCACGTTATTTAATAAAAAAAATCCTCATAAGAGCAATCCTCATAAGGAGCATAACACTTTTTTCATTTGATAAATTCATTTGCTAAAAAAAAGATTTTTTTCGCATTCGATCCAACGCTCTATGAATGAAAACATCCAACTATAAAAATCGAGCGATTCAATTTTTTATTTTTTTTTTTCTTTAATCCCTTTTCAAATCACCACGTTACTTTCCTTTCTTTTTTTTTCAAAATTAATAAATTAAAACAAAAATTCTAAGTAACCAATTTGTTAATTGTTCTAATATTGCAATCGTTATAAAAAAAAAAAAAAGAAAGGAAAAACAATACGATAAATATCTAAATCCCACGATAAATACAGCTTTCCTCGCGACAAAAATTGACCAAAAATTACTTTCACCAATTATCCAAAAAACTTAGGATTTACATTTACATGCACAAATAAAAGTATATATATATATATATATTTTTATTCGTGATAATTATGTTGAAAGCGCGCCGCTGAAAGCGAGGTTCGGACTCATAAACACGAATCTGCTCAAAAACTCGAAAGAGAAAGAGAGAGTCTCATCCCTTCGTAACGTTTTACAAGCGGAGGCGAAAGGAGGGTGGGCGAGGATGAAAGGATGGACGGGAGCGGGTTAAAGCTTGCGTTTAAGAGGGGAGAGAGGCTTCCTCCCGGGGGACAGAAGTTGCATCGTATCGCAATGACGATAGCCGAAACGGTTGCGAGCAACGTCCCTCCCTCCTCCGTCCACCCCGTAATGGCCCCGGACGGAATAGTTTCAGAAAAATGGCCCCGCCGGCCGAACTTAAATAAACGCCGGGCCCGGATAAAACGATTTATTGGCGCGCCGCGAGTGGATAACGCTATCCATTTGTACGTAATTCCGGCCACGGTATCCCCCCTCCCCTCACCCATCCTTATCCGAAATTGTTACCGGACGAAAATTCGTCGTCGTCGTCGTCGTCCGGTGGAAACCGTTTCGAGCTAGCAGCCTGACGAATTTCACACGATGTACGATTGTTGTTCTTTACGCGTGTATTCCTTTTATATCCCCCTTGATAAGAAAGTGTTTGCCATAAAGTTTTTCCTTTGGATCGATTTTGGGAGATTGGAAATAAATTATACGATTTTTAATAAATTAATAATTATAATAATTATTGCGCGAGTAAAGGGGGAGTAACTGTAATTAATTATTGTAAGTAGAATTTTTTAAATACTAAGAATATAAATACAAAGCAAAATTTAATCACGAGTACAGGTGTCGAGGTGGAAAAATAGCTGTTAATTGAAAGTGCATGTACCAGGATGGAGGCAGCAAAATCAATTCTATCCATCTTTGTGAAATCTCCCGTTTTGATACAGTTTTTGTTTTTTATCTCGACTATAAATACCGCGACTCCTCCTAGCCTAGAGAGATATCGTTCGATTCGAATCGTAATTCTTCGTTCCTTCGCTCGTACAACTCGAATCTATCACTGACCCGATCCAATCTGGACTCGGTGGCCGACTGATCTTTTTTTTTCTTTTTTCTCTTTCTTCTATTACTACGTGTACGCGTTTCCAGGGGAGAGAGGAGAGGGGAAAGGAGGTCACGAGAATCTCTACCGCCATTCAAAATTCTCCATGTTTCCTTGCTTCGAATTTCTGTATCTTTTGAAATATCGATCGAGATATCGATTTAAAGAAAAATTAGTTTTTTATTTATTTATCGGAATTTGGGAAAATTTAATGATTCTAAAAAAAGTGGAGAAAGAAAGGTTTAAAAATGTAGGGGGAAATAATGAGATGAAATTTCTATGAAATTTCTAGAATTAAAAATACAAGCTTAAATAACAAATTTTCTTTGCTCAATGTATTTTGTGCATATTTATATAGATTTCTGAAAAGATTCTGAAAAGAATAAACATCTTTCTCAAACACCCCTAAAAACCAAATCGTTTTCCTGCACCGTTTTCGCGATTCTCGAGAGCACATCGATCTCGAGCAACCCCGAAAAAGACGATCCACCACGATTTCCCTTTCCCCCGATTATTTCCCCGCGTTACGTCTTAATTATGACGCTCGTGTCGTCGACGAATCTCGAGCAGAATCTTCGTGGAAAGAATGTGGCCGAATTAAGGAAGGGGAAGGGTAGCGAACGTGACTTAAATCCATTGCGACCCCCACGAAACTCGACGGGATCGTTTGTAACCGTCGATGGAGCAGTTACGCCACGGGGAGAACAGCCTCGAAATAGAGACAACGGGGGCCATAGGTGAGAACGAAGCCAGTTAAAGGGAGGGAAGCGGAGGATTGGAGGTCGAAACCTGGAGGGTTCTGGGGCGAAATGGAAGAGAAGTGGGAACGGTCTCTCGCGAGATAAGGAGCGTTGAAGATGAAATGAAGGGAAAGGAGGGAGGGAAATAAAAGGAGAAAGATGTAACCGAGAGAATGTAACGTGGCAATAAAGGGATAAGAAGGAGAGGAAAGGAAATAAAGGGGTAAATTTTGCGAGAGAGAGAATCGTAGAAGAAGATACTTTTCCTCGTTCGTTAAATTTGTATTTTAATAATATATTATAATAATAACGTGGATTTGATCTTGAAGAATTTTCTAAATGTATAATATATCCCTTTGACTTCGAAATTATTTTAATCTCTGAGAGAACAAAATCAATAATCGATAAAGAAAAATCAACGTAAAAAGAAACGAGGAAACGAATAGACGAGTTAAAACAAAAATAAACCAAATTTCCCTTAATCCTCTTCGCTGCTCGTATCGTCGAGCGCATTATCCCTCGCGATTGTGAGCAAATCTTCCAATTCAGCCCCGCGAATGTCTTTCGCGGAATGTCCCCTCATTTGCGTCTCGCCACTGCCAAGCTATCAGCTTAACGCCTCGATGAGCCTGAATCGGAATCCGAGCATCCGAAGAACGACGTCGATTCGTCGACACACGCGTCTTCCCGGAGACGAAGAAGCTAATCCGACAACGTCGTCGTTTTAAATCGTAGTTGTGTCCAGACGTGATCGACATATATATATATATATATATAAGAAAAAGATGAAACAGCTTTGTGAATATTTAAAACGAGTTACGGATCCTATTTCCGCTCGAGGATAATGGTAAATGTAACGAGGTATGAAAAGCGATAAGGCGTGTCTTTCCCGTGTCTGACTATTTTATTGATGGCGAGTTAGTTGCCTTTCCTGGTGGAGGGATATCTTCGTTTGATGAGCATTTGATGTTAACAGAAGAAACTCGAAATGATCGTCAAGGGAAATATTCCACTTTCGAATAATCATCATCTTTCCAATCCACCGCAATTTCATAGCAATTCAACTATCGCTCTGTAAATCTTTAAACGCATCTACGATACGTTATCGATGTGTCATGGTCGAAACTTCGATTCACCGTCGAGAAAAATCGAAATTCAATTTCGAAAGTAATTCGGCGTATATCGTATAATTTCCACGTGGACACGAGGTCGTACAACGCTTCCACGGTGACATGTCGGCCGCGGGGTTACAACGTGTCCCGTGCGGCAGCACGCGTTTCCTGTTTGCTGTTAAATAAAGCCTTTAGCCTCGGCCGGACGAAACTAACGACGCGCGTTTACCGTGCAAATACCGCTGCCATTAGTTCTGCGCGGATAGAAGGGGATATTACCAAGTTAAGGGATAAATTTATACGATCGTGCTGCATCATTGCCATCCACTTTCGTTAATTAGCTCATCCCTCTCGTCCCTCTGTGTCCGTGATTTGCTCTTTTTCTTTTTTTCTTTTTATTCATCCACGTTGATTCGGATCAGGCTTTGTGTGTTTTTCGCTCGGCTCGCGTTTAACTCTCGATACGAACGTTGTCGAATAATGTTTGACCGATTCGTGTCGATAAAATATAGGTTACGATCCCTCCCTCTCTCCCCTCTCTCGTGGAGCTTGTTAATCGGTCGCTTTGACTTCTTTATTGATCTCGGGGTATTAACGGTGGATGGAAATTGATTCGAATTGGCCAGCAGTGTAAAGGGGATTAGATTTTGTTGTTATAACGGACGGTGGCTGTGATTTATCGATGTTGGCTTTTCAAGTTAAGGACTTTCGATTTTGGACATGATTCGTGTAGTTTCGTTTTATTTATGAAGGTTTTTTTATTATTTTATTGGATGAAGGTATTTCTAATTGTGCACGGTGTCAGCGGGTCCAGCTTGTTGTTGTATTCGGGATAATTTTTCGGAAAGAGTTAAGTTAATGATATTATATAACAATATTATCGATATTATTAAAATAAAAATATTGTATTTCGAGAGATTAGGTGAATTTAAGGTGTTATGTATGAAAATATATTTTGTTTAAATAAAAGGTTTATATCTTTTAAAATTCATTTATAAATTTATGATGGAAATTATTTGAAGTGTTTAAAGTAACATTATATTTAGTCGTATAGTAGACAATGTTCATTTGTAAGAGAAAGGCTACCAACAAGCAGTCGTGGCCGAGTGGTTAAGGCGTCTGACTAGAAATCAGATTCCCTCTGGGAGCGTAGGTTCGAGTCCTACCGACTGCGAAAACGAGTTGTTTGAAAATATATTTTGTTTTTTATTTAAAAATAATTTTTTCTACACTCTATTTTTCATATTTTACTTTTAACATGTAACGTTTTTATTTAGTAACAAAATATATTATTATATATTTCTTAATAACAATAATTGTGGTTATTCACAAAACTTTTTTTCTAAAAAAATAAATAATATTTGAACAATCTATAATAATAATATCATTATTACTCAAATAATATTTGAATAATAAGGATAATTTTTAATATTTGTAATAATTTACAAATGCTTTAAATCGAGAATATAAAAATTATCAATTGTCTCTATAGAAATAAAAATTTAATTTTTCTATGCAACAAGAAATTTTTGTTTGATATTTCAATAATCAAAACCACTCAGAAAGCATCCTTCCCATCCTCCTTGCACTGAGTACAAGGAGTGAACGATCATCGATGACTGAGAAGTTGAAACAAAAGTCAACTTCTCGAGTCTTCCTCACGCTCAGGGAAAGATGCTATCCCTCCTCATCGTGGCTGCATCAACTCTACGTTAGGGCAGAGCTTTGAGAAGATCTACTACAGAAATGATCCTGTGAAGTACGATCTTGATTTACACAGCCACAATGATACAATATATAGCCAATTCTGTACTTTCCCTACTGCGAGAACTCGTTTAACGACCTGGCCCTCTATGAGAAGAAACTTGAAATACTTGAAGAAAAAATTATGATGCTCATATCACTTGTTATCTATTTATGAAGTTATATAATTAAACAAACATTTTTGCTGAAATATTTTAAATAAGAATCACAGAAAATTTGGTATATTTTTATTCCTTATCTTATTTTATATAGCCACTCACAAATATTTTGCCACCTTATAAAAAGTGTTATTTTTATTAATATAAAATTTAGATGAAATTGAAATGAAAATTATTAATACAATTTAATAAAATCGTATGAATAATTACCATAGAATTTCAAAATATCTATCAAATTTAATAAACTTTTAAACAACGTTTCTCGACTATACTTTATTTAAGGAATAAATTATACTCAATTTTCGAAATTAAAGAAGTTGCAACAATATTAATAATTTCCTTTCTTCAAATTCTCAAGTTCAGAAATATCGATCGTGAAGCACGCAATAACTCTAAACTCTTAACTGCAAAGACAAGAATAAAAAAAAAAAAAAAAAAAAAAAATCAAGTGTAAAAAGTTTCAGGAACAGTGCACAACGTTTTAATTAAAAGATTGAATCTGCGCGATCGGCCACGATCCAACGATTAATTAACAATTGCCCGTTCTCGTTCCCCGTAGTAGTTGGGAAAAAATTTACATGGAAAAGTTGCCATTTTCATCATCGACGTAATACATTCTCGAAAGTTCAACGCACGGTTACTTCCGTTGTGCTCCACGTACGCCAAACGAAATTGGAATAAACAATTCATCAGACGCTCCGACACGATGGAATTTGTTAAAACTTCGAGAGGAGAATTTCATTGGATGCGTGGATAATGAAATTCTCGTTCTGATTGAGATTCGATTACCTCCACGTTACTTTTGACGTGGATACTGTGTTTTGGAAAACGAGTTTAATCGTGATGGATGGCATAAATACTCGTGTTGCGTTCGAGTTTATCGGTTATGATAAAAGATAATTAATTTCGCGAAATTTCATCTCGATGGAAAACAGATTTTCGATAATTTCGATTTAATTCTGTTTGCAATTTACATCTTTTAAAATGGACAAAATTATCGTCGAGTTCAAACGTTTCTTAACATCTCTCTATCTTCTAGCAATCACCGATCAATTAGTATATTTTATTCGATTTTTTGAAAGCTTATCAAACGATAAAGAAATATCGATGATTAATCGTTAATCGATTTGTTTCTTAACTTAACTTAATTCGAATGAAAAAATTTTATCAATCTTTTATCAAACTCCTAATCCTTTCTTTATCTAATGAAATTAACTTTTGGATCCCTAACTTTAAAATTTTTCTAAACCATTACTTTAAGAATCTCTGCTTTTAGAAAATCGTACAGAACATTACGAAGAAAACGAAGTTAAAAATAGCTATCCACGAGTTCCTCGACGAATTCTCTCCTCCTCTCTCTCTCTCTCTCAAAAAAATCCACTCCGTTCCACTTTTCACGATGCAACAATGCAATATCCGGTCACGGTGGTCCGGATATTTCTTCTCGCCGCCATTTGCATGACACAACGTCGAATTAGCCGAACACCATCGTCACGTTGCTAGTTCGGCGTCGAAAAACGCGGGTGGACGCGTGGGCGTCGCTGAGTAACCCGCGCACAGTGGGTGGACACGTGTGTTCCTTGTTTGCCGCGTGGAACGGGCCGAAGCAAAGCGCCAAGACACCGGTAAACAATGCGAGCATACGTTACATCGGCCATTGTGCGTGCACCACCCTCGGCTCCCTTGTCTTTTGGCCGCAGCCTTCTTTTTCTTCTTACTTTTCCACTGTTCTTTGTTAAGATGCAACTCGCCTCGCACCTTTTCTCGGTAATTTTCAGTGTATTTTTCACAGATGTAGCACGGTTTTCTTATCACCTTCAAGTAGGTGGACAGCGGTTGAATGCAATCTCGATAAGAATGTATAATTTTATTTTCATTCTCTTTCTCCATTCAAATTCTTCAACTCGGATTGCCATTTGCTACATCCGTCGATTGATGATTTTTTTTTTTTTTTTTTTCATTTGTATTACAAGTTCTTGCGTTTTCGTTGTCCTCTGTTCGAATAACAATATTCGCAGTGTTTGGGTTACATCGAGACGTTGATCAATTGACGATCGCGTCAATTATATTCCATTGGTTATGTTAATTATTCCAAGCCAATTAAATCGGACCAATTTGTTGGTCATTAATTGGTAATTAATCGACGTTTTGGCTATGCATTAGTAGAGCTGATTGCAATTTGAAAATTCAGCCAATAAAAGAAAAAGATCTGCTTTATAAATGAACTCCGTTAAAATTAACTATCGGCGAGAAATTTCAGACACCATAGGAAATCAATTCGTTGTTCTCAAATTGGAAGGATATTTTAATATTTACGTTCAATTCGAAGAGCGAAGAATGAAAAAGATAGAAGAAAATGGAGGAACGGATAGGAAACTTAATCTCTTGAATTTTTTTTCTTTCTTAATATTAGGGACGATATTATTAATATATCTCTTTTTTAAATTACTTATTTATTTTCATACTCGATCTTTTCACTTTTCTTTTAATTCTATTCACAATCAACATAACGTTCCTTTCTCTGGTATCGTTTTAACAAGAATTAACAACAAGATGTTTGTCGAATCTTTTCTCACGTTTGCCTTTCCATCCTATTCCAGATTCCTGATCCTTCTCCGTTGTTCCATTTTTCTTCACATGTATGTATTTTCCACATAAACACATCAATTATCGAACGAAAGTTTACTCGAAGAAATTAAACGAGAAATCAAAGTTAAACATTCTTGCAGGAAAACTATTTCACCTTTTTTCTTCTTTCAGTTTCTTATATTAGATACCCAACCCTTGCACCTTGCGCGTGGTTTTATATGTTTTCTCTGCTTTGCAACTAATTGGAAGGATGCTGGAAAGTTCTGGCCGGCGCGGCGCAAGTTCGCAGCTTCCACGGCAAGAAGTGTCCCGGCATTAATTAAAGAACTTTCTGCCAACCCGAGTGTACCGATGTTTCAGTTTAAAAATTTCCAACGCTCCTTCCACCCTCTCCTCCATTTATTTCGCTCGAATAATTATTTATTGCCGTACCAAAAATTAACCAGTCATCGTTTCCATTCCTCCCCTACTTTCTTCTTCCTTCCTTTTCTCTTTTTTTTTTTAATTACCCCAACAAATTTTCCACAAACAAAATTCGACTAATTAATTAATTTCCTTTACAAACCCCTCAAAACTTTCGATCGATACTCATAATAGTTCAAAACCTTTACCTCTATAACATTCGAGTCCATCACTGATCACGACCCACATATCCCAGAAACGAATAATATCCTTCATCACGTTAGATTTACTCGACTAATAATTAATCAATTATAAGTCCAAACCCCGTTGAATATTGGTGGAAACAAAAATTTCACACCGATTAAATTACACGGATTCCCCTCGTTTTTAAATTTCAACGATAAACGCTACACCTCCCTTACACCAGATCGATCGTGTCGACGTCGACACGACGGGGTCGATATGGAACGCAACAAGTGCATCGACGCGGTCAAAAGATTTCGGGGGCGGCCTCAATTACCCGTACCCGTTAACGAGCCCGGTGCACGCGAGTTCACCATCTCCTCTCTCTCTCTCTCTCTCTCTCTCTCTCCTCCCCCATCGAGGGGAGGGAGGATTAATTAAAAAACCACGCACCACAGCATTATCCTATTGACGGTTGTTTCAGTTTCATTACGTTACGGGTCGGGGAAGGTGAAAGCACGCATCGAGCAGGAGATTGTATCGCGGATGATTTACCAACTTTTTGCGCGAAGATAATGGGCCCCGGGCCGGGACGCGCCAATTTCTCTTTCCACGATGTAAAGGGAACGATATAGAAAGAGAGGGGAGGGGGCGAGTGATGCGCGCACTCGGTAATCTCGTTTTTATCGCTCCCTCTCCCGCAAAATCCTCCAATTAGCGCGCATAACATTACCGTAATTACAGTACCTACCTACGAGGGAAGCGCGGCATCATCGTATCGATAGGGTTAATACGTTCAAGGCCCGTCCTTTCTTCCCCTTCTTTCTCCGTCCGTCCAAATTGTGCTTCCACGCCTCCTCTCTCTCTCTCTCTCTCTTTCTCTCTTTTATGATCTTAGTTTTCGGCCTCGTGTAGCAGTAGGATTAGAAGATTCGGCCTCTTACATCGATTTATGATTCGCGGATATTCTTCGTCCGCCAAATTGTGCTTCCACGTCTCCTCTCTCTCTCTCTTTCTCTCTCTCTCTTTCTCTTTCTTTCTTTCGATCTTAGTCTTAGGCCTCGTGTAGCAGTAGGATTAGAAGATTCGGCCTCTTATATCGATTTATGATACGCGGATATTCTTCGTCCACCAAATTGTGCTTTCACGTCTCCTCTCTCTCTTTCTCTCTCTTTCTCTCTTTATCTTAGTTTTCGGCCTCTTATTATCGATTTATGATTCGCGGATATTCTTCGTCCGCCAAATTGTGCTTCCACGTCTCCTCTCTCTCTCCTCTCTCTCTCTTTCTCTCTTTCGATCTTAGTCTTCGGCCTTAGTCTTTCATATGGGACTACAATTAGAAGATTCGGCCTCTTACTTCGATTTACGATTCGTGGACAGAATTGTTTCTAAAGAGTGTAAAAGAGAGGTTAGGGATCGAGGAGGATAGAGTGATCTTTAAGATTTCAACGATATCCGTGTATTATACGCGAATTAAAAATGATCGTCGAAAGGTAAGTTTGGAGGTGAATGCGTACGCGTACGCGTATCTCTAAATGGTGGACGAGTCTCACGGATCTTAATGCTCGAGTCTAGTCCCGAGGGACGCCGAGGGGTAATAAATCCAAAGTGCATTAGCAAACTTGGTAAAGAATACGAGGAGCGTTGAACACTCGCTCGCTTGTAACAAGCCA